AGCTTTGCTTACCTTAAGTTGCCCAATTTCTTTAAATTTATAAACTTCATATTCCCAGAGTGCTGCATTTTTCCCAAGAATTTTCTGGCATTTGCTGGCAGTATAAACAACCCAGGGAGAAAGAAAGTATAAATAAAAAATAAACAGAGACTGAATAAGTGGATACTTTCCCCAGTGGTTTAGATAAATCTCTCTTCTCAGAGTTTTGACAAATTTCTATCTCAAGTGCCAATAAAAACAAAGATATTACTGTTACTTGGTTATATACATAAGTTGACAGAACTTATAAAAATTAATACAAAATATTTACAAATAAAGACAAATCGCTTTCAGAAGACTACGATTAGGGGTTTTCTTATTTGTCTGCTCTGAGTTTCCCGTTCACCCAGATGAGCACTGTTGGTTTCGGGACCTTTCTTGCCTTGAAGAAAATTCATCATATCTGAAAAGTGCCAGACCCTTTCTGAATGGCTTTACATTATGGACTACAAAATCAGATTTCAGAAAACTAGAATCCTATCATAGTATATATGCTGGAGGACTGTTTATGTATGAATAAAACCTTACTTTACACATCAAGGAAACACATTTTCTTGCATAATCTCAGGAGACTCAAAGCAGGCCTGGAGGCAACCTTCCGGGGCACCGTGCAGTCACTTACGGGGCTGGAGAGCTCCAGTGGGAGCACCGACACAGACCCACGTGAGCACGACATGACATTCACGTTTTCTGCTCACCACAGACCCCTGTGACCCAGGATCCTGGGGTCTGATCACTTCCATTTAATTGCCACTTTCTTGTTGGGAAACAATTCTCTTTGAATTGTGAACAGAGGCACTTTGTTCTGGACCATCTTTCAAGGATGCTTGCAAAGCAAATAGCCCAAGAAATTACAGGACACAGATGGTGTCTCCCTCCAGGGCACAGGGCAGATTTGCTTACTGGCCAGTACAATGAAGGTAATGTTGTCTTCCAGAGCAAAGGGCAAGGAGGCTTACTGCCCACTAGAAAAAACTCAGATACCCTAAGCTCGGTTTCCTCTCCTGTAACACAACCCACTGCACGAGCAGGGTCACCTGTTCCACCCTACATTGCACTGTGGGGATTGGGGATCTGGGGCAAACGCTGATACTCCCGTTACTACTACTCTCACAGTAGTACTCTGGCTACTACTATTGCTGACACAGTCTGTTAGCGCCAACCCAGGAGTCTCATGTCTTCTGCCAGCACCCAAGAAACTGTAGCGGGCTAACCTGTTAGCTTATAAATCTCAGAACCTTCATGGTTCTTGATACCTTTCTCATTAAATAATGAAAGAAAACCTAATTCTCCTTTGGTGAAAATGACATAGTTGGGGAAATGGTATCTATTAATTCATTCTGTGGTTGAAGCCATTAATATTCAAAAATTGTCTCTGTTAGAAAGATATAAAAAAAATAAAATATCTGTCAACTGCAAAGAATGGTTTATTTTCATTGTTAACTTTGGTCATTTCTATTTATATAGCAAGTAGTTGTGAAAATGTCATCATTACCGTGCTGCTATGTCATATTCTCCTCTCTCCACCAGGTGGTTTATATATGCCAAGCCAATATCCTAGGGAGAATAAAATGAAGAAATTTCATAATTCAACTGGAACAACCAAAATTTGAGTCTGAGTTTTTAAGGAGGCCACAGCCTCAGGGTCCTATTAGCACTACTGACTGCAACCTGTTTACATGTCTTAGTTTGCTTTAGGTAATTATGTTGCTTATTAAGAAAAATATGAATATATTTTTAAATGCATTTGCATTTGCATACATTTTAGAAGTCACAGTTTTTAAAAAATAATGTTACTATTTTAAAGGCTCCTAATCTGCCCCTCTCTAAAAGATTTTCTACAAAGGAAATCTTCAATATTAGAAACATGATCCAACAATTCCATGTTGTTACTGGATATAACACTGTCTCTTGTACCTTTACCAATAAAATGTGAGCTACCTGCTGCTTCTACCATAAGTCTGAAAAACGTTGTAAGAAAAATGAAATGAAAGGTTCTAATATTAAAGGAAAATATGAGATACTAAAGCTAATATTAAAGTAAAAATGAGCTCAGAATAACATGTGATTCAAATCCATAAGTTTACAGATGAAGAAACTGAGCTGAAAGCAGTGAGGTGACTGGCTTCAGAGTATTCATGTTTATTCACTTACTCTACTTATTTCCCTTATTCTGAAAGGATCTGGGGTGGACAATGCCACCAGGGGCATAGGAGTATGGCTCTGATGGCAATATGGTGATATGAAAAGTAGTTAGGGCGTTGTCTTCTTATGAAATATTATTTCCACCTAAAAGTATGTTCACCAGAAGCTTAACTTCAGTGTATGTAAACAGAACTAGGATTTTTAACTTCTACTTTATTTACAAAAAGGTGTATGTGAAATTTCTTCCTGGATGGCAGAAATAGCAGAAGCCCGTTTCTTCTCTGGATGCCTGGTATAAAAGGATATTGTGCCAGGAGAAAAAATTCTACACATAATTAATGCATAGGACATGCCCATTTAAAGAGTGAAGGGAAACACCCATAGTTTTTAGATTATTAAATTTTTACTTTAATGGTCATTATCTAAAAACTATGGGATATCATATTTCAAATCTATAGGAACTTGAGTGAAGAAAGGGTGTCTAACTTCCTTATTTCTCTGAGAACAGATCACACATGCTGATATCTATGGAGGGTCATTCTGTCCAGGTTCAGAGAAGAGAACACCAATCCCCCTATCTCTCTTCTTGTGCCCACGCCTCCCCATTGTAGAGCTTATCCCAAATGCCTCCTCTTTCTCTGTACACCTTTTACCTCAATACTATTTTGTCTCTTTTCCCTTCGCACAAGCATGTTTAAGTGCCAATTGTGCACAAAATACCCAACAACCACCATCATCCCATCATGCCACAGCCCCTGGCTACAGTCTTCACTCTTTTCCACGTCACGGCTAACCTGACAGTCTCTATTCAACCCTACTTTATAATCTCCTATTTGCTTTTCACTCCCCATGACATGTTGAGATTAAATAACAACATACAAAAAAACACACTAGCTACTTTCACATTACCAAATTCAGCATACAACTGACTAGGTGACCTTGTCTTACCTTTCCAACCTGTTTTCCTCACTACTCAAACATTTAATTCTCTTTACCTTGAAATGCTCTCCTCTCTCAGCTCCCACGAAATGACCTTCCTCTGGCCATTCCCTATCTGTTTTATGTACGTTTTCCCTTGAACGACAGTGTTCCTGACAGTTCCACTCATGGTCCTCTGTTCTCTGATCCTACACACCTGCTGTGTGTGGGGTCACACATTTGACTGACACTGTTTGCTGATAACTCTCCCAAATCTATTTTTGAGTCCAAATATCCCTTTCTCTGTCTGTGAATAGCAGCACAATCCACCCACAGGCCCAAGCCCAAAGCCTGGGGGTCGGCCTAGATTTCTTGCTCTCATTCTCTTGTCCACACAGAGTCAGTCACCACATCCCAAAGATTCGCGCTTACTGCATCTTCCACCTATCTTCACCCCTCCATTCCTACCGGCTACTCTGTGCAGGTCTCACCACTTCCCTCCTCCATTACCAGAAAGCTTCCTAACTGATCTCCATCTCAGCTGGCCTCTCTGGCCCCCTATTCTCCATCAGAGAATCTTTCTAACAGGGGAATCTGAGGTAGCACTGAAAGCTTACATTGTCTTCTAGCGGTAATGGAGACAGAACCAAGCTCTTAATTACAGATGGCCCTTCCGGATCTGGCCTTTGCTGCCTTTGTGGTGAACCCCTCACATGCTCCACATAAGCAAGCAGGCCACGCCATGTCACTTCTCTGCATCTCCACATATACTGTGCTAAGGGCTGCATTGCCTTCTCTTCCATTTCTAGAGAATCCTTGCTTATTCGTTACAGTTTTGACTGCAAAAAAAAAAAAAAAAGACGCTCTGGTTTTCCCTCCTCCTTTCATTCCTAAATTATTTCGCTTGTGTACTTTGGGAATTAAGGCTTTTATGTGGAGTTTTACAGAGGAGTTTAAGGTGGGAAAAGCGTAGGCAGAAGGAGTCTGTGTTGAAACCCAAATAGCCATAAAAGACTAAGTTTCCAGTTTTCCTCTGTAAACAAGAATACTGAGCTAGATGATCTCCAAGGACCCTTCACATATAAAGGATATGATTTCTTCTCTGCTTTCCATCTGCACATTCACCATCATAGGTAGCAAAGAAAGGAGTTTTCACTCTCTGTATTTTCCTAGAGTCCAAAATGTAATAAAAATGTATTTGATGTCCTAGCTTAGTCTCCATAACAAAATCAATTGAGTATGTTATTATGGAGACACTGAAATAATGTAGTCTTATAAAACCACTCTTTTCATGAATTTTGTGATAATGTGATTTTACCTATGATTTAAGAAACTTCCACACACATAACTGAAATGCTTTCTATTTAAAGTGTTTTTCACAAATACAGTTTCCAAATTACCTAAAACTACCTCCTAGCAGGTGTTCAAGTCTCTTGTTTACAAGTAGAAACTGATTCGATAAAATGAAACATTCTGACCTCACAGGTTAGGGAATTAGTTTGAAATAAATTCTCAAAAGATAGGAAAAACCTGTTCTTTTCAAATTACTTTCATTCTCATTATAAGTTATTGAATGATAAAGTCATGTTTCAAATAATAAAATTGCAAACTTACCAGAATCTTATGTCTTTTAATGTTCCTTTGGCTAATTTCAGCTGCCATCAAAGCTTCCTATATTTACATAAGCATGACAAAAGGAGCAGAAAAGGAGGGACAGAAAATGCGAGAAGGTGGAGAGAAAGATATTAAGGTTATAAACACTGTATCATTAATATGTTTCAGCATTCTGGACTACATGAATAAAACCCCATTTTCTCATGGCTTTTGTTTGAAGCACTGGAATTTTTAATGCTATGGTTGAATGAACCTCACTGAATTCATACTCAAACAAAAGCAGTCAACCAAAATGAAGACTTCTCTTATTTCCATTTGAATTCATTTCCACATTAGGATATTGGAATCACGTTTCAGACACAAACCGAAACACAACAAAATCTCCTAGTCTCCACACCAAAAAAAGGCATTTGTCATTCTAAATCTTTATGACATATATTGACAAAGGGGCATTTTTCCTTTACGTTTCAATAAAAAGGTAAACTATACGCATACGTTTATGTATGTCTACAATTAAGTGTTTGAAAATCTCTCATTTTGTTTTTATTTTGGAAAGTTTACAAGTATTACTTTAACATAAATGTTTAAAACAAAATTATTGCTTTAAGAAACTACTAGATCTAAAGCAACATGGTCATAACTGGGTTATGAACTAGGTATCAATACCTGGACTCCAAAATTGTTTATAAACAAAAAAAAATTTTTCTTTCCCAAATCTTTCCAGGTGTTTATAAACTTAGTGCAAGAAATAGTCTACCTATTTGTTGCTGTTGTTGTTTTTAGCTAATTACTATATAAGCCCACCTAAAGAGTTTTAACTAAACTAACATAATAATGTCTTTGCACCTATTAAAGTTGAAAAAAAAATTTTGAAAAAAAAATTTGACTGAATCCAAATTTTACAGAACAAATCCTTTTAATAAAGGAATATGTCTGTGAAGTTTGGATTCAGTTGAAGGGCTGCATTTGGTGATCTGGAAGGCCAGATGTGGCCTTGAGGCCTCAGGTTTGCCTCCCTTAGACTGGGCAACATCATTCTATCCAAAACGGTAGTTCACACCATCCTGAGTAGTAATTTGATAAGCATGAATGATTTCACTAAAATATCCAAATAGACAACTCTGAAATACTAGCTGTTTTAATTTCCTAAGAAAAAAACCACGAAATAAAAATTTCAGTGGGCTGCATCTAACCTACTCCTTCCCTCCATCCCCAGCTCCTCCCCATTTAACACTAAAGCCAGTCAACCTGTTGCAATCTTTCTGTTCCCTAATTTCTGAAAAGCATATTAGAAATTTATTGACCTCCTACATATTTTTGGCTTGGGGCACTCTACTTCAACTACATAAAAGATTTATTACAAAAATATTTTACCCTCTCCATGTTACAGATGAGTCAATACTTTCAAGGAAATCAAAATAAAAATTACTTCATATTTCTTCTTTTCAAGGAGCCAGTCAATGTGATCGTCTTGGTCTCGTTCCTTGGCCACTACAACATCTCTTGGACTCACGATGTAAAAGAGTGATTCCCCTTCCGAGTATTCTAAAGGTGAGAGAAGAGAGGAACAACTTGGGTGACTCATTGGTAGAAAACTTGGCAAGGGTTTCAGAGAACCTGCTTAGGCTACCCAATCTCAGAGTAAACAGAAAACACATCTACCTTTGTTGCAAGTGTTTGGGTCTGTTGGAAGGTAAGGGCCGGAGAAAGGATATAGAATGACAGAATGTATTTCAGTGCTGTTAAAAATATTTAAGTGTAAAATTATTTGAAATAAAAGGAAGGAAAGAAGGAAGGAAGCAAGGGAGAGGAAGGGAGTATAGAAAAATACTAAAAAACTTTTAAAAAGTAAGGTGGGTTTAAAGTTCTGTATTTAATACATTAACTCTCACTTCAGCTGAAAAAGTGTTCAAAATTCTCCATGTCTATTGCATATGAGAATTCATCTACAGTATATAAACTTTATTTATGGCTATTTACAGCACTGTTCTATTTTTACAGAACAATTACACCCCATAGTTGGCGATATATGTTTCCTCCTCAACAAGGTCAAGGCCACCTGAGGTATAAATGACAGACGCCCAAGCCCTGGGGACACAATCTATCATTTCAGCATGTTGTGCACAATGCCAATCCGAGGGTTTCCTGCAGAATTCAATTATAAAACCTGTTTTGAAGGATTTCTAAGTGTGCAGCAGATTTGCTCTGAGCAAAATACCTACATTGGACGCTTTTGGTTGTGAATCACTTTTGCCAAGTCCAGAATATACTCTCAGTATTTTTCAACTCATTAGGGGCTTCATATAAGAGAGTTTAAACATGTATAGAATATTTCTTAAGTTCCTTTGGTCAAAATGAGAACTGTAAGCATTCTCATAAAATGTCCATTGCTTTTAAAGCAGTAAAAGAATTTCTATAAAGCTTAACTATTCTGTTTTCATCAATATATTTTCCAAGGATATGATAACATCCACAGATGTCCCTAGTACTCCTAAACAGTAATGGTTCTCCCTTTATTTCTGAGCAGTGACTACGTGCTTTCAGCCATCCACTCAGCGAATGTTTACTGAACACCTACTATGTCCCAGGACTCTTCCAGGCTCTGAGCACTCAGTTACAAACAAGAAAGATGATGTCTCTGCCATCCCAGAGCAAACCCAAACCTTCTAGAAACATAAAGTTGGGAGTGATATGACAACCACAGAGCCACGCTGCTCAACATTAAGTGTCACATTAAACAGGACAATAGAAAAAATACAAGAACAAAAAACAAGGAGCCTAATCCTCACCTTGGTCCTGGTCCCATCTCTACCCTTCCCTTCTGCTATCAGAGCTCAGGAAAATTCTGCAATATCTCTGGGCCTGGATGCCCTAGTTTTCAACATAAAAGGCCTGCCCATATATTTTCTAAGATCCTTTCAGCACCTCAATTAAAATTCCCTTTAGTGTAAATCGAGTGGAAGAGGGAAAAAACGGTAAGTATAAGAAATCACATGAGCCAGATCTTTGATCTCTCTCACCTAAATGATAATCTCTACATTCATTCTCCTGAAAGCCTCTGACTGTCAAAGCATCAGAAGAGATCTCTTCGCAAGTCTCTGGAAGTGGCTGGATGATGTCCAGTCTAGGCCTGGCACAGTATTCCCGTTCCTAGCGGGGAAAAGAGAGGGAAAGGATCATTTTATTTACTTTTCTATAAGTTATACAAATTAATTTCAGTTAGCCATACTTGCCTTGGTTTTATCATTTTGGCACAAGTAAGCCTTTCTAACAGCCTGCCATAAGCCGCTTTTTAACAGAAAATAAAACAGTGTTAAACTATTTTATTTTCTGACATTTTGCACGAGATAAAGAGGACAGATACTACTACTTCCCATTCAACTTCCACAGAAGTGGTGGCTCAAGACAGCGACCTTGTATTTGGACAACTTTATTACATCTCTTCCAGAAAAATGTGAGCAATAATAAAGATAATATCACAAACTGCTCCATTATCGAAATCATTGCCGCTACTAGTAAACTTGCTGGTAATTCTGAAAAGTCAAAGATTAAGAGTCATCTCCAAATCAGAACTTGCTGAGACGATGGAAATGTTCTATACCTGCACTACCAATATGGTAAACACTAGTCACGGTGGCTACTGAACACATGAAATGTGATTAGTGTGACTGAGAAACTGAATTTTAAATTTTATTTAATTTTCATTAGTTTAAATTTAAACAGCCACATATGGCTAGTGACTACAGTTTTGGACAACATAGCTCTAGATAAAGATGGAAGGGGAAGGATGATGACGTTTACTCAGGACCAATGACAGTTCAACCATCCTAGCAGGTGATTGTGTAGAGATTATTCTCATTGAGTTCTTAAATTAATGCTGCAAAATTAAGTACTACTCTTCCTAATTTTATAGATAAAGGAACAAAGGATCAAAAGTTAACTAAAGTTAAAGTTACACAAATGATAAGGCTGGGATTTGTGGAAAAAGTGGGACTTCATTGATTTTGAAACTAGAAAAAAAAGGAGGAAAAAACTAAAAGATTTGAACACTTAAAAAATTGGCTATTATAATAATGAAAACATATCAAAATCAGAAGAGCAAATAAAAAAAGTTGAATAAAGTAAAATTCAAAGAAAATGGACTCACTAGACCGTATAAAAAGTTCCTTTATATGTGTAAGAAAAGCATCAGCAATGCAATTCAGTTCACATTACATCTTTTGTTCCCTCGCCACACAGCCCTGCTTACCTGTGACCTTCCTAAGAGCAGGAAGTTGGCTGTGTTGACCTTTGACTCCCAGTGCCTAGCATAATTCTTAACATACATGTGTTTTATCAATGAATGAAATAAAAGTAAAACACTGGGGGAGCAGCTTAATAAATTAGGGTGTACTAACCAGATGGGATAGTACACAATTACCAAATGTGATAATGACGGAGACTACATACACATATGGAGAGAGAATGGAAAAAAGCTCATAAAAATAGTGTAATGCAGAGTAGCATGTGACTATGACTACAACTATGTGAACACATGCACATATGCAAACAGTATTACATGGAAAATATTTGGGGAGATAATACTGAATAATATAAAAACAAATTTTTCAATATGAAAAAAGAAAGCCAGGGCATGGGATAGACCAAAGCCGTTATTCCCTTAATCATTTTTGTTGTTGTTGTTGTTGTTGAGACAGAGTCTCGCTTTTTTGCCCAGGCTAGAAGTGAGTGCCGTGGCGTCAGCCTAGCTCACAACAACCTCAAACTCCTGGGTTCAAGGGATCCTCCTGCCTCAGCCTCCCGAGTAGCTGGGACTACAGTTGTAAGCCATGACGCCCAGCTAATTTTTTGTTTCTATTTTTAGTTGAATGGCTATTTTTTTTTCTATTTTTAGTAGAGACAGGGTCTCGCTCTTGTTCAGGCTGGTCTCAAACTCCTGACCTCAAGCGATCCTCCTGCGTTGGCCTCCCAGAGTGCTAGGATTACAGGCATGAGCCACTGTGCCCGGCCTCCCTTAGTCTTTTTTATGAGTTTATTTGTGTTTAAGGATTTAAGGTGCACTTTGATGTTCTATAAAATGAGTAAATATATACACTGGCACCACATTTTCAAGTTATCTCCAAGACCCTCACTTCTTCCTTCGAAAAAGTCCATTTTCTAATTTGCGCTATGAGGTTGGCCTGTCTTTGTTTTTTATTTCCTTCTAATAGTCTCTGTTTTTTATTAACAAAGGTTTTCTTTCTTTCTTTCTTTTTTGGTCAATTTTTATTAGACTTTCCCTTTTTCATTTTACTGCTTCTTTTCTTATTTTTTTCGATCACATTCTCAAACCTCCCCACATTCCCCAACAAAAAGCACTGTATTTATTCCCTCAGGAGCCACTACTTTTCTTTATTTTCAAAAAATAAATAAAATAATAGTAAACTGATGTCCTGCAATAGGGCTAGAAGCCAACCCTATTGATTTTAGTAGGTTGGAGTGTTCACTTAAGTCTACAGCATTTCATTGCCTAGCAACATGGGCACCCAGAGCTTCAGTTACTATAGTGATGGCTTCCTAATGCAAGTCTCGCTCAGAGAAATGCTCAAGAGCAGCTACTACTTCAAAACCATGGCTCCCAGGGTTTTTCTTCCCCATTTTATTTCTTGCCATTTGAAAAGAAAAAAAAAGGAGAGGATACAAACAAGGAGAACTCACTTGCCTATTTACTGTAAAGGACTGGAGAATCAATTGCAATTCCTTTTATATACAGCACCCAAAAGAAAATCCTTAACAATGAGCTCTCCTTGTTTATGCCTTGAGGCCACCCCCCCACCCTCTTGCTGGCAGGACCCCTGGACTCTAACAATAAAGATAAGCTGGGAATGGGGCCAACCCCAGCTTCAAAGGGAAACTGGGCATGAATGCCCCTCCACTGGGCCATGTATACAGCCTTCGTCCAAGGTCACATAGTAGGAAATTTAGATCATCTGCTGCTTTCTATTAGCCACATATTTGGATGTGCCATCATTTGCATTGATAACTGAGCGTCAGCAAGAATCCATTTCAAAGCAACTATCAATCTGGTCAGGATCACTAGACCACTGAGAAGTAAACAAATATGTCTGGACCAAAGGAAATAATGAACTGCCCTTTCCGTAATTCCCTCTGACCCAGGGACCCTTGTTGTTGCAGCCGATCAACCTTGTTGCTGTCATTTCTGCTAATGCGCAATGTCAGCTTAGTTTCTTTGCCTTTCAGCAAGAGGAATCCTTCATTCCTTTTGACTAAAATACCAAAAGAGATGGGGGAAAAAAAAAAAAAAAGACTTTCTTCTGTGCTCAGCAAAAGGAACAAAGGCAGGCAATGAGTAGAGTTTTTTGAAGGTAAATATGTTAGGTCTACAGGGTAATCTCTGCCAACCTTATTTTGTAGGTCAGAAAGACCTGCTCCAATTATAGCAGACTCCTCTGACGTACAACCTGATCTGGGTGTAATGCTAAAAAGGAACCCCCACATCCCTTTGTATTTGGGGAGAAAATAATTACCGTTTTCTCTGAAATCTCTTTTACGTAGGAAAGTACAACAAGCTGATCACACAGAGGTGCAAGTCCACTGATGTAGAATTCGGTTTCAAACTGAGACACTGCAAACAAAAGGGACACAGGATTCATCATTAACAGGAGCAAAGAGCAGCACACAACTGAAGGACACACTGACTGTGAATGCCAGATGGACCCCCCTTAAAAAGCCAACATAAAGGGGGCACAGTTGAACATAGTTTCAAGACTTAGCACTAAAAGTGCTTCACAACAATCAGGACCAGAAAAGAGTAAGTGGGAACTTAGACTTGAAAATTTCCATCACAAACAAAACCAAATCCAATGATAATAGTAGCATGGATGTTCAAGGGTGATACTGTGCCCAGGTAGTTAAAAAGTGACATAGTTAGATTACATGAAGACATTTTAAATTTTTAAAATGCCTGAACTTAAGTTTTTCACAATTGGGGCACTACAGTGGTACAAAGATCACAAGGAATGCTATCTGTAATTACAAAACACTATAGATCTTGAAGTTTTAAAAAAGGGGCATAAATACAGATTACATTATGACGAAACACCGTTACTTCTTAAGCGAAATAAAGGTCAGAGAAAAAACTAAAATTTCTCTTTCCTTTTAAAGAATAGTCTATTTAAAATATAGAAGAAATATTGCATCTCGTAAGAAGCACATGGATTTAATTACACTGGACTCCAAAGATCTGATAGAAAGCTCTGTGGAAGAAGTACAAATATTATTATGGTATGATTCTAATGATTAGCTGGTATAAAACATAAATGATCATTGTTTTAAGAGACTGAATTTTGGGGTGGCTTTTCTTCTCAGAGAAGCAGCTGACACAATAGTAGTGTTGCAGAGATTATTTGACGAACTGTACTCTGCACTTACGAATTCATCTGGGAGTAAATTCTCATTGGAACCCACTGCATTGTCTAAGAGTGTCTTCATTCAGATCTTCTCCACAGTTCTGTGGTATTAGCTGCAGATTTAGTTAACTTCCATGAAGAAATCACCTTCTTTATCCAAATAGGGGAACTCAGTGTGTCATATTAGCAATAATATTGAATGTTGGTTGAGTCAGGAAGGTTTATAACTTCCACTAAATTTAACTTGGACAAGTCATTTTTAACTTCTGCAAGTATAACTTTTCTCATTTACAAGAGAAAGGAATCAGAGTAGAAATATAATCCAAAATGTAGATAAAATGAGGGCTACTGAATTTTCCTTCTTCCTTTCCCTTGCCAATCACTTAGTGTTCTTTGTCTTTGCTGATCTTTAATGCTTTTCCTTAAACACTTGTTTTCACAATTTAATTTTCACACCAAAATGAAACTGAGGATGACCAAAAAGTTACTAAACAGCAACATGCACTTTAAAAAGGCTAACATTTCTTATGCTTTGTCCTTGGTTAGATTGCACGGGTGGTCATGGTACCCTGGAAAGAACTACAGAATGGAAGTCCAAAGGCAAGTGCTCTGGTCCCAGCCCTGTCACTAACACATATTTCCTGAATATTTTTATCCAGGCACTTGAAAACAGTTTTGGTAAAGTGGCAATGTGATAAATGTTCACAAAAGAGCTTATGTGGTGAAACACCTTCACTTCTACCACATGTGCAGAGATGAGCACTTCCAGCATACTCAGGCTGGAAAAGGTTCTGGAGCTCACAGTGCTGTGTGTGCATTTGGGAGGTGGGGCAGGGGACAGCTGGATGTACAGATGCTATTGAACAGTATGGGTCCACACAGGACCCAGTAACGGAAGAGATGGCAATTTCACATTCTACAAGACATACTGGCATATTAACAAGAGGTTTTGATTGCCATCGCTCTTGAGGTTACTAAACTCTGATTGGAAGAAATGGACTCAAGTTTGTTTTACTAAATCACGTATCATTGTTGAAATGCTACACACAGTTCTCTATCAGCAACTTGGGTGAAGAACAAAGAATCAGATAAACTTCAGAAACTGTTTTCATGGTAATCACAAGAAGGCTTTGCTGTGCTTGTTTGCCACAGGCAGCCGAGGGAAAACATCACCTAATCACAAAAGAAATGGTGGGTAAAACAGGTATTCTTCCTGTTTGGGATGCCAAATGGGCTGCTAGTTTGACAGGCAGTGTCAGCATCTCTCCTAAAGGTAACCAAATATACATGATGGCCTTGGTTTTTATGAATAAGCTGAAAGAAACAGAACAGAGAAGCTAGAAAATAATTCTACCCAAATCCTTCCTCCTCAACATCCTGATTCCGTAGTCCACAATAACTTGCATGAAAAAGACAGAAAATTTCTTGGTCTCTAATTAAGAACATGATAGAAACTCTAATGTGTTCTTTAAAGAAAACACGGGAAGATTAGAGATGCACAAATCTATTTTGCTTCTCAATTCCAGATGTTGTAATAAATGCTTATTTGTTAAGTAGTAAATCTTATCAGACTTTACTAAGTGAGAATTAGTAATAATTTAGACAGAGACTATATGCAGTGGGTAAATTATAAGCTGACAAAAAATGTTATTTTTTTTTCCAAAATGACTGACTAGAAGCATTTCAATTCAGCAAGAGGATATAAATATTCTAAATATATATGCACCCAACACTGGAGAACCCAGATTCATAAAACAAATATTACTAGACCTAAAGAGAGATAGACAGTAATACAATAACAGTGGGGGACTTCAAGATCCCACTCATAGTATTAGAAAGATCAAGACAGAAAATCAACAAAGAAACACTGGACTCGAACTGCATGTTAGACCAAATGGACCTAACAGACATGTACAGAACACTCTACCCAACAACTGCAAAATATACATTCTTTTCATTAGCATATTTAACATTCTCCAAGGTAGACCATATGTTGGGCCACAAAACAAGTCTCAACAAATTTTTAAAAATCTAAATCATGTCAAGTATATTCTCAGGCCACGGTGGAACAAAACTAGAAATCAATACCAAGAGAAACTTTGGAAACTATACAAACAACATTCTCTTGAACAATCTTTGGGTAAATAACAAAATCAAAACATTTTTTGAAACAAATGAAAATACAACATACCCAAACCTGTCAGATACAGCAAAAGCAGTGCTACGAGGGAAGTTTATAGCACTAAATGCCTATATCAAAAAAGTAGAAAGATCATAAATTAACAATCTAAGGATGTACCCTCAAGGAACTAGAAAAGCAAGAACAAACCACATTCAAAATTAGAAGAAAAGAAATAACAAAGATCAAGAACTATTTTAATAAATGAAATAGAGACTAAAAAAAATACAAAGGATCCATGAAACAAAAAGTTGGTTTTTTGAAAAGATAAACAAAATTGATAAATCGCTGAGAAAAAAAAAAGGTTCCCCACAGGGGAAAATGGACACCCACGGGTGAAAAGCACTGGCTTAAGATAAACACAAAAATACAAAGAAAAACTGCAAGGCCCTGAGCGCAGCTGTAAACATCTCCTTGTAAACTCGTTTAGACTGCTTGTAACCACTTTTACTGTCCCATAGTACCCTTTGGCTCATTTTACTACTAAAATCCCCACCTAAAAACAATTTTAATATCATTAACATAACATGGGTCACATTAAGACACATGATGGATATATTGCACATGCTTAATACGATTAGCCTGTATACATGCAATGACAGCAGGGAAGATTCCACGTCATTCACTAAAAAGAAATTTAACATGACAAAATGGGCAGGCAGCACAGATTTTACTCCCTGGAAAAGTCCTATGCCACCCCACTCCAGAGTGAACACCCTGTGTAAGTTACCTCTAATAAACTCATTTAACTTGCCAAGCTGGACTTGTCCAAGTCATTTTTTGGTCTCTGGACACCATCTCAGTTTGGAGGGTGGTTTTTCTATACTGTCCCAAAACAACCACTAGCTAGACTAACCAAGAAAAGGGAGAAGATCCACATAAACAAAATCAGAAATGAAAAAGAAGACACTACAACTGATACTACAGAAACACAAAAGATTATCAGAGACAATTATGAACAAACTATTTATTTACAAGCTAGAAAACCTAGAAGAAATAGATAAATAGATAAATAGAAAATATACCACCTCCCAAGATTGAAGCAGGAAGAAATAGAATGGCTAAACAGACCAATAATGAGTAGCAAAATTGAATCAGTAATAAAAAATCTCCCAACAAAAAAAACCCCAGGACCAGATGGATTCACAGCTGAATTCTACCAAAGGTACAAAGAAGAATTAATACCAATTCTCCTGAAGCTGTTCCAAAAATTGTGGAGAAGGGAGTTCTCCCTAACTCATTCTACAAGGCCAGTATCACTCTGATACCAAAACCAGAGAAGGACACATCAAAAAAAGGAAAACTATAGACCAATATTCTGATGAACACAGAAGCAAAAATCCTCAACGAAATACTAGCAAACCAAATCCAACAGCACTTCAAAAAGATAACATACCACAATCAAATGGGTTTTATTCCAGGAATGCAAGGATGATTCAATATGAACAACTCAACAACTATGATATATCACATAATCAAGGACAAAAACCACATTATCATCTCAATAGACAGAGAAAAAGAATTTGGTAAAATTCAACATCCTCTTATGATAAAAACCCTCAACAAACTAGGCACAGAAAGAATATACTTTAAAATAATAAAGGCAATACATGACAAACTGACAGCTAACATCATACTGAATCAGGAAAAGTTGAAAGCATTTTCTCTGAGAACTGGAACAAGGATGCCCACCCAGTTCACCACTCCTGTTCAACACAGTCCTGGAAATCGCAGCCAGAGCAATCAGGCAAGAGAAAGAAATAAAAGGCATCCAAATTGGAAAAGAGGAATTCAAATTTTCCCTACTTGCTGATGATATGATCTTACATCTAGAAAAACCTAAAGATGTCACCAAAAAAATTCTTCAATTTGATTAAATCAATTCAGTAAAGTTATAGGATACAAAATCAACATACAAAAAGTTAGTAGCATTTTTACATAACAATAACAATCTACCTAAGAAATCGAGGAGGTAATTCCATTTATAACAGCTACAAAAAATTAAAATACTTAAGAAATAAATTTAACCAAGGAGGT